ATATATATATATATATATATATATATATATATATATATATATAATACGCTTAAGAGCATTTTAAGTACGAATCCTGTACGTTTTACAATTTTGAAATATCGGAACCCCACACTGGCCATATATCTGGAAACATATATATATATATATACCCTCGCACTGGCCGTATATGCATACTTACATATGCATATACACACACACACACATATATATATATATATATATATATATATATATATATATATATGCATATATATATATAAATACATATGCATGCATACATACATACTGTACTCTATATATATATATATATATATATATATGTGTGTGTGGGTGTGTGTGTTTTGTGTGTTCCCCGGTGTCATGCAACAAATACTTAAAATTCATTGTCCGATTATATTTAGTGTTTAGTGCATGACGCCATCGGGCTGCAAGCCGGAAAATGATCCGACGTCGATGAGAGGTCGAACGAGCGGAATAAATCACACAAAACGGTACCTTGACCAATCGTTCGTACATACCACCCGCGCCGCCGATCATATCTTCTTGGGTGGCATTTGGGTCGATATCCCACACGACGCACTGCGCGGGCATATTATAGGGTGAGGGGGGGGGGGGTTGGGGGGGGGGGGGGAGGGTGGGGGGGGGGGGGGGGGATGGGGGGGAGGAGTTCATTAGATCAAACGGGAGGGGCATGTCTTACACAGGGTTACACAGCAAGGAGGGGGGGGGAGAGGTCACACAGTTTCACACAGCATATATTTCTTTTTTAATCTTCCTGCGTGGGGTTCGGGCCAATGTCCCACACACCGCACTAAGCAGACACATTATAGCTCTACAATTAGAATGGCGTGCCCTCATGCGCAGCTCGCCCAGCCGACTCGTTCTAATAACGAGGGCGGCACTCGTCATATGACAGCTCGCCTAGAGACAACGATGTTTTCAGTACTTTTACGTGCTAATTCAGTGTCCGATTAAATTGAGATCCAGACTGCCTTAAAAAGATACTATGGGTTGGTTAGACGGGAATGCCGGACTTTAATGTCCGAGCGATAGCATTGCCGTTGGCTTTTTAGCTTTCGCGCGGCTTTTAGCTGCTGAGTCCGGATCAGTTAATCCGGACAGAAATCAGTAGTCTTACACAAGGTAATACTTATTTGTTGTTGACGAACCTTGCTTAGGTCTCCGCCCACCGCCAAATGTTCGGCATCGGGCGAAAATGCGATACATGTGCCCTACAGGGGGGGGGGTTGAATATGAGGATGAAAACGCGTCATTCTTCCCTCTATCTCAACGAACCATGTAATCACCACTAGTGTACATTTCTAAATTACCCGTTCCCGAGCAGGTCTCCACCGCACCCAAGCGTTGAGAAAACAATCGGATCAAGGGACCCAATTGCTTGCGTGCACGGACAGTTATATTCGTTCATATTTAATTTATATATACTCAATCGGCCGGAGGGGGGGGGGGTT